AACAGATTACCTTTTTAGGAAGTGGCAAACTGAATGCTGGCTCTTTGGTTGTGATAATTGGAAGCAAAAAAAGACAATGGGATGGTATTTTCAGTTTGAAGAAAGAAAATACCTACCAACAAGGAACTCTGTGCTCTCCCACATAGCCTTTCAAAATGAAGGCAAGATAAAGCATTGAAGCAGACGAGGGGCCTTCAAGAGAAGTTTGAATGGGGCAGAGACAAACTGTCTACCTCATAGTTTTGTCTGCGGTGGGCATTTCTCCATCACTTGCTCCCTCCCTCTGTATGGTGCCAGGTATGGTTTCTTGTCCTTCATAGAGTCCATAAACCATAGAATTCAATGCACAATGGCATGTGAATAAAACAAAGCCTAGGCCAAAGGCACACCCACCGTGGATGCATTATTTCCCTCCTGTGGTCATGAGTAGGATTTTCCACCCACCTGAGATATAAATACACAAGACTGGCTTTTCTATTAACCACTGCCTTATCTCAGCATGCAGCTGGGCTTGACTTAAACTGTAGCGAGAGGGAACAGATTGGAGGAAGTAAAACCTCAAATATAATCTGGTTACAGGCATGGAAATAGGAAACTAAACCCAAAGACAGGTGCTGGGAGGAGTCCACTCTGGCAGATAAGGTAAAAAATAAAAAGTATTAGTCCCAATGAGTTGTTGGAATCAGAAAGTTCTGTTAAGTAGTTGTAGTATCCCCAGCAGTGGGTAGATAGGCATTCAGAAGCTAATGCCACTAAGCACTTGCATGACACATTGATGTACAAAGTGAACCACCCCAGCAGTGTGAGACACCACAGTGCCATGGTTAAGAAACCCAGCTCTATGGTGGAGTGGACCTGGAACTGAGTCTGGGTTTTGCCACGATCTAGCTGGGAGAAAGTTAATCATTGCACTTCAGTTTCCTTAACTATGAAATGGGGATAGTAAGAGTATCTGTGTCAGATCTGTTGTTGGGGGATTCCAGATTACATAAGTGAACTGCCTGTCACATAGAAAGTTCTCAATTTGTGCTAGCCATAATCATAAAGATGCTGGTGATGAGTGCCCTCAGAGGCTTGTTCAGTCAGCACTGAGAAGAAGATGGCATGAGCTACTAGGGGGGCAATGAGCCAGGACCTCCCACTTGGTGTCCTGGGCCTCAACATCTTCAGTAAAAGAAGGAACTACNGCCCAAAGAGCCAGGACCTCCCACTTGGTGTCCTGGGCCTCAACATCTTCAGTAAAAGAAGGAACTACTTGTGAATCTTTGGCATAACACAGCACCTAGAATTTAGTGTAGGTAGGACTCAATAAATTGTAATAATAATCAGGAGAAACCAAGAGTGATTCATTGAGGCCTGGAAGCCAGAGAAGGTTTCACACTGAAGATGACATTTAAGTGGCAAAATTTTGCTGGTAGAAATGTGCTAGTGAGGCCAAGAGAGGAAGCATTGGGGAAAGAATGAGGGGAATTGTGCACAGAGGTAGGAATGTACACAGACATCTGGGAACAGAAAAGGAGGGTGTTGTGTCTGGAGAGTAGGTATGTGTTGGGGAGACCAAGGATCTATAGAGGACATGGAGACCAAGGGTCTATAGAGGACATCCAAATTGGACAAATTCTTTTGTGCTCTGTGAAGAATTTGAAGTAATCCTGTAGATAGTATGGGGCTTATGAAAGTTTTCTATAAAACAGAGGAGTAATTACTCAAAACCGTATTTTACAATGATAACAGGCAGTTGTTACAACACAGTTGGCAGAGAAAGAGGTGGTATAAAGGCTATAAGAGGAGCTATGGAGAAGCATTGGGCAGTGGCCTTGGGGATGGAGAGAAAGGACATATTGAAAAACTCAGAATGGTGTAATCACCAAAATGTAGAGGCTGATTACATGGTGCAGGGTGGGCTGGGTAATAGAAATAGAAGGGTTAAGACTATTCTCTTGAAGAACAGGTGAATGTTGATGCCATTGACTGAGTAAAAAGGTAGACTACTGAGTTTGGAAACTTGAATTTAAAGGTCTACAATATGTCCCTTGTAGAGTTCAACACATGAATCCAGTGCTCCGGATGGGGTGTGAGCTGTACATATCCATTTGAGGATAATGTCTGTGTATTTGGATGGTTGTTAACACCACAGAAGTAGGTGTGGTCACTAATAGGAGTATTCTGTAAAGACAAAAGGGCCAGGTAAACTCTTTGGGAAATACCACTCTTTTAGGAGAATATGAAGGAACAGAGGAAAAGGAGACTGAGGAAGG